CCAGGAGAGCTGACCATTTTACAATGTGAAGAACAGTGTTTCTGTGTCCCAACTCCCAGAACAAAGCCATTGTCCCATGGCCCCTTCATCTCCAATCACTGACATGTGGTAAAAACAGGTAAGTGTGGTTATATGAAAAGTTGAGCAATCATACTAATTGAAGATGGCAACCTAAACTCAAACTGAAATTATTTTATTTATTTATTTAAAATTTTATTTTAGTTTTATTAAAGTGTAGTTGACATACAATGTTACATTAGTGTCAGGCATACATCATACTGATTTGTTAAGTCTATGAGTCATGAGAAGCGTGGCTACCCTGTCACCATTCATCACTGTGACAGTGCTTTAGACTGTATTCCTAACGCTGTACCCTTCATCCCAGGGACCTATCCATTCCATAGCTGGAAGCCTGTACCTCCCACTCCCCTTACCCATGTTGTCCATCCCTCCACACACTTTCCCTCTGGCAACCTGCACTTTGTTCTTTATGGGTCTCTTTTTACTTTTTGTTGCTTGTTCATTTGTTTTATGTTTTTTAGATTCCACAGGTAAGTGAAATCATATGGTATCTGTCTTTCTCTGTCTTATTTCACTTGGCATAATACTCTCAAGGTCCATCCATGTTGTTGCAAACTGCAAGATCTCATTCTTTTTTATGGCTGAGTAATATTCTGTTATATATGTGCATGTGTGTATATATCTGTGTGTATACACACACACACACACACACACCATTTCTTCTTTATCCATTCATCTATCAATGGACACTTAGGTTGCTTGCATAACTTGGCTATTGTGAATCATGCTGCAATAAACATAGGGGTGCATATATCTTTTTGAATTAGAGTTTTTGTTTTCTTCAGATAAAAAAACTGAAATTACTGGTAGTTTACTAGATTTGTAAACTCATCTCCTTAAAAGTTGAATTGAGACTTCCTTACCTTGTCAAAAGCTGCACTACTGAAAATAGTAAAAAGCACAGAGAATGAAGCATAAACATATTGATGCAAGAGCTGAAGTTTGACGTTTTCTTTGTTAAAGTTTATCTTTTCTTTGTTCTTTGTTCCAGGACCAACTAGGTAGGTTCATGGTTTGATTAGGGTGAAGGAGGATTGAAGGAGATTTACTTTTCCAATCTTATCTTGGAAGTCAGCTTTAATGTAATGATACTTGAGAGATTCTGTTTCTGGTTGAGGGCTTTGTTGCTCAAAACCAACCAATGAAATTAAAAAAAAAAAAAAAGGAAGTACAGCTTTTTTTTTTTTTACTGATGAGCACCATTCACTTTCAAAATTCCAGAGACTCAGAACCAAGAAGGGACAAGGCATCTGACAGGTCAGTTTTGCACTTTGAAAATTCCTCTACCTCTTCCGCAATGGAAATATGCATAGGAGCCAAGGGGAGCCCACCCCAAAATGTGCCACTTTAGCATACTGATTATCCTAAGTACTTAAGAGGCAGTTGGTGCAAGAAGGACACTCAGACCCTCCCCTGTCCCCTGAAAGCAGGAAATATGTCTCCCATGAGAAAGTTATGCTCCCTGTGCCAGGAGATCAAGAGATATCCTTATCACCAGATATGGGAAATTTAGAGCCAAGAAGGCTGTAAACAAAACAAAACAAAACAAACCAACAAACAAAAACCTTTGCTACTTTTTTCTAATTTACTACCCTAGTCCAAATTCTGTTTAGAATTCCCTACTAATTGAAACTCCCAAAGGTAATTGATTCCTTACAGATTTATTGTCTCTTTGTCTAAAAAGTATAAAAACTTCCAGCCTTGGTCATTTCTTTACGTTTCAATTTCATTATTGGGCCTCCGCGTGCATATAATAAAAGTTTGGTTCTTTCTTCTGTTAATCTGTTCAATTTAATTCTTAGTCCAGCTGGAAGACTTCGAAAGGTAGAAGAATTTTTCCTTCCCTACATATGGCTTGGAAAAATGACAGTGCTCCACTTTCAAATGACTTATCTTTTTTGAGCCACTTCTTTCTGTTTCCATGACTTCAGGATTCCAATGTGTTTGGCTAAGGAAAGTGGAAAACTGAATGAGGGGAAGATGGAGACCACCAATACAGGCCAGACTTAAAGTTTTGCCCCTTGTCTCACTACTGTACTCTATCTGAGCAGACTGGAGTTAAGCCTTGTGTAGTCATTAGCTGGTTGGAAAAGCCCGACACCCTGCGGCCATGTTTAGTACTACAGTTGCTTCTCCAGCTAGGTGTCCCAATTTGTAAACTCTTCCTAGGGTTTGGCATGGCTGGATACAATGGGATGAAAGGTGTGTGTACTCTGTGTAAGTTGTTGTTGTTGTTGTTTGTGTTTTTTTTTTTTTTTTTTTTTACATTTTTTCATTTTATACCTGTCTCACTATCTCCACAGAGTCATCCTTTTTGATCAAAAAGCAAGAGACATGCTCAGAGCCTCCATTTTATAAGCAGGAGAGGTTTCTCTTGATTTTCAGCTAGCACTGCCTGGGTAGCATCAGTTCAAGATCTTAGAAGACAGAGACGTTGGAGGACCATGATAGGAAATTCTTTGCACTAAAAAAATTAATTTTTAAAAAAGTAATCTCTATGCCCAACATGGGCCTCCAACTCATGACCCTGAGAATCAAGAGTTGTATGCTCTACCAACTGAGCCAGCCAGGTGCCCCCCTAAGAAAAAAATCTAAATATTATTTTAAAAAGATAAAAGTCGAGGAAATTGGGAGACAATGTTGTAATAGAATGAATACAGAATGGGGAATCAGGAGACTTTATTTCTAGCTCTGATTCTGTCACAAACCTTATGTGGTCTGGGGGAAGTCATTTACCCTCCATGTGCTCATTCCTATAAAGTTAAGAGGTTGGGGGTGTCTGGCTGGCTCAGTTAGTAAAGCCTGGAACTCTTGATTTTGGGGTCATGAGTTTTAGCCCCATATTGGGTGTAGAGATTACTTAAAATAAAGTTAAGAGACTGGACCAGACCATTTTCAAGGTTCCCTCTGGCTCTAAACTTCTGTGATCTGTCCATGGATAGTTTTCCTACGCCCTGCACAGTTGTGCTTCTGAGCACACAGAAACTGCTCTTTTTTCTCTTTTTCTTTTTCTTTTTCTTTCTTTCTTTCTTTCTTTCTTTCTTTCTTTCTTTCTTTCTTTCTTTCTTTCTTTCTTTCTTTTCTTCTTTCTTTTCTTCTTTCTTTCTTTCTTCTTTCTCTCTCCTTCCTTCCTTCCTTCCTTTCTTCCTTCCTTCCTCTCTCTTTCTCCCTCCCTTCCTTCCCTTCTTTCTTTTAAAAAGATTCCATCTTTAAGTAATCCCTACACCCAACCTGGGGCTTGAACCCACAACACTGAGATCAAGAGTCAAACGTTCCACCAACTGAGCCAGCCAGGTGCCCGACTCCTTATTTTCACCCACTGCAGGTAGTCCTAAGATCAATCGTGGCTTGGTCACTCTACCATATCCACTACTCAATTGCCTGTGTCTTTTAGAACCAATATTTCACTCAAGTCGATAGGCACATACTGATCTTTTTTTAGTTTGTTTTATATCCATTAAAGAATTGAAGTCATTGGCTTAATTAAACTGTTAGAAGAAAATGAATTCATTGGCAAATGATGCAAACGATCTGGGACCTCTGAACAAGTTCTTATCTTGCCGTCTCTTAAAAAAGTCTACTCAGAAGTCTTAATGATAAATACAAGTTTCATTTGTGTCATTTTTTTTTAACTTTATTGTTATCTTGATCTTGATGGCACAAAGCCTGGCCACCAGCAGGAATGTGATGGTATTCATGCTATCATTCAATAGAACCCCAAATAGCATCTACTTTAGAAGACACAACAATGGAGACATAAGCCCTGATAGGAAGAGCTTATAGCTTACAAAGGGACAAGAAGCTAGGCCAGCACAGAGGGCAAGCTAACTGGCTTTGGGGATTGGTACTGGTAAATCCAGAAGGAAGTGTATGAGTCGGCTAAGCAGGAGGGGCTGGGAAAATTCATTGCAGTGAAATGAGAATTTATCCAGTACTTAATCATTCTTTTCAATGATTTGGCTTTTTCTAACCTCAAGATATTTGACTCTAACCCAACTTATTTCTAAACTCAAATTTACTTTGCAATTTTCAGTTTGGGGGAGTGATATGTCCTAGTGCCCATCTGATTTAAGTACTCCTAGGACCTTGAGACAGATCCTTGCATGCTTTAGCCAACCCCATCCTACAGGTTCAATGCTACACGTTCTTCCAGTGCATATTCCCAAAATCCAGGGAAGAAGCCACCTATGGATTTAGTTATAAGCTTTATCCCTGTGAAACAGGACAGAGGGTTGAAGGCTTAAATAGAAGATGATTCGAGAACACTTTGTCTAGTGAAAGAAGTCAGGAAGACTCTGCATGATTGTGAAGCTGGGGGAGGGGGTCCTGTTGGGGGCCCAGGACATGGGTCTTTTCGTCCTCTCAGCCCCTTAACCCTACCCCAAAGCCTCTCCATAAAATGGTCTGAAGTTATTTCATGCTATTTCAAGTAAAACAGAAGCTCTCCTAAGCAACCCCCACTTGTCATTTGCCAACTTCTCTGTAAAACTCACTGGTGGATGTCGCAGCAAGCTGAAGACCCATGACTTTCTCCAGTACCCCCCACAATCTCTCACCGATTATGTTGGCTGTAATTATATAAATTCAACCATGTATAAGCCAAAAAGAGAGGAATGCGTGTTGTTTCTTTCCCCCACACAAACATGGACTTCTTTTTCTTTTTTCTTAAAGCTCAGCAGTTCATCTCTATTTGTCTTTTGTTCTAATTCCTGACCACACAGGTACTGGGTTTTCTTTGAATGCCATCAGGTGACCTGGCTCCCAGCTGCTTCTTTGTACGATAGCCATTGTCTTCAGTCTCTTAGTACAGAATAGGCTTGCAGCATTAAGAATCCCTTCAGACACGTTCTCATCTCCTTCATGAGGGTGGGGAAGAGAGTTCTAGAAAACTATGCACTAGGTCCAACTCACTGAGGAACTGCAAGAGGATCAACTTTTAAATTTTCTTTATTTATAGACATTTTGGAACCATTTAAATCAACAAAGAACTTTTTTAGACAGAACATACCATGTTTATCTTGAGGTACACATTGGGCCCATTAGATAATGCTCTGGAAAGTAACACAACCGTTAACTGGTAGTTAACACCCCCGGTTTTCCAAGCAAAGAACCTATAAAGACGGTTACAAAATTCTTTGAAAAGAATATACCCTTTCCATTTAAATCAAGGAAAACTCCCCCAATTTTTAATTAATTGAGTTCAATTTTTAGGCTTAGCTTAAACAATTATTTTAAATGGAACTTAATATGAAAATGGGAGAAGAGGTTGATAGCTAAGAAATGATCTGAGCCCGAATACATGAGATTGTAAACAAAGGAAATTTATAATCTGATAAGCTCATTACAAAATTCATAGCCTAAAAATTAGACAGAGCAGCAAAATTACAGAAGATATTTGTACATAGTTTTAACTGATATCACGTTTACCCCTTGTTTCTGGTTTTCACAATGAGATCAATTTTAAAACACAAGTTTTAAAGACTAAAGTTTTAAAGACTAAACCGCAATGTGACTTGACAAGAAGGGGCCATGAGAATTCCACAATATTACAACCCCACAGCATAAAAAATCCTACTTTCCATCATTTGCATTCTGGGCATTTTACTCTTTTTGCCCTAGCAGCCCATTGCCTTTATATTACTAGATAAAGAGTGGGAATTGATAGAATGGTCATAGTTTCTGAAAGTTTCGTGTGTCCAATAGCAGATTTAACTTTTCTGGGGGACTGACGTTGAAATTTCCTTTGAATGGTTCACGAGGTACTTTGGAAAATGGTTTTGTTTTCCAGTTTGTTATTCAAAATGTTAATTTTATGCTCTTTAGGCATGATGAGTAGTGACTTGTTACACAAAGTGTTTGGAAAATGAAGGACCCTCTATCCATCCACATCCACCCCCTGAACTTCTCAAGGAGTTGTATGGATGGTGTGCAGGTGGTTCTGGAATGTGAGCAGAGGGTGTTTATGCCTATGTCTGAAAACAGTTGGAATGGATTGTCATAACAGTTTCCCATAAGATTGTTTTATTTCTACATGAGACAAGAATAAACATAGCAATTTAGTCGAATGGGCAGCTTGCTGAAACTTCATAAACTTGAATGGTATATGTGGGTTGAAAGAGTGTAAATGTAAATTTCACAGTTCATAAAGTTGAGCAGCTCAACTTCAAGGAGAAATGTGCCGGCGTTTACAAGATTCTGAGAAAGAATAGGTCCGGGAGTGTGTGAGTTCTCCCTTCCAGCATGAGTTAGGTCCATATTCTACACTTTAGCTGCTTGGTTTGGCTTATTCCTGATTTTCTTTTCTGATGGGGGCCATGAATTTAAACCCCAAGGAGGGTCCTGTTTAGACAGACACTTTCCCCTAAGCCCCATGGTCACCGCACTGACTGCAGGGAACCTGCCAGATATGTTCAGTCTTGACCTGGTTGTGTTAGCAAAAGTTCTGCTTCTGGGGATCTCTAGAACATCATTTCTCACTGCGAAACTGCAGCTCTTAGCAGGGAAAGGCCGGTTCCTCCCCGTCCCTGCACTGTGTCTCTTGCTGTGATCCTCTCTGCCTTGTCTAGTCAGGGTGCCAAGGTCCTCTACAAAGTGTTCAGCTCAGGAATGGCAGCTACATGTATCTGTGCCTTTGGAGATGCCAGAAGTTAGTTATCACAGTCAAAAACATTCCTAATCGGTAAAAGAGAACATTAGCTAGTGGGAGTCAGAGATACTTTCAGCCTCTAACATATTCTAAGTTTTCACGATCACGTGGCGTTGATTTTCTTACCCCTTTAATAAAGCCTGCCATTTCTTCCATCTGTGATTCTTTGAAGACAGAACACACTTAACTCTCCATACATCCAACTGCCCAGAAGATTTCCTGTCTTTCTCACACATATGCAGTCTCAGCAACTGTGATTTTAAATATAAACATCATGAGCTCCAAGAGGGCTTTTTTTTTTCAGCATTGTCGAGTCATACCAGCATAGTGCCTGGCGATAAAAGGTGCTCAACAAATTTGAATACATGACCCAAAGGCCATAGCGCCTGCCCCCAAGTAGTCTCTATATTGCTACCAATACAAACTCGATGTACACATGCCAGGACAAAAACCAGAAACTATTTGTGTCAAGTTTTTGCAAAATAAAACATAAAAAGAGAAACATAAAAGGAGTCAGCTGTTTATGTGGGGCAGCCTTCATAGTAAACCCAAACCCGCTCTGTTCCTCCCGCCGGAATCTGAGAATTGTGTCCAAGGGTCAGGTACTTAAAAGCAGACTCAGCAAGGATTTGCTAGAGAAAAACGTGCAGCGTTTCAACTGCATCCTCTGCTTTTATTTTAAAAGAAAGTGCTGAGAGGTTAATGTTGCCATGGAAGTGGTTGCTGACACAGAAGGATGTTTTTTTAAACATGAAAGTCACTGAGGGGTCTCATGTCATGTGAGTGCAGGACCGGAAACTTCCATATAGATTTTTCAGTTACTTCTGAAGGGGCGCTCCAGTTTGCCTTATGGGATGCATTTTACCGAGAGTATTTACATTTTGGGAGATGTGTGAAGGGAGGAAAAAAAAATGCCTTAAAAAAAAAAGATTTAGGATGGAAAATGAGAAGAGGTTCAATTCACCTCAATTCTAAACCAGGAGATGGATTTAAGAACATCTTTAATGTCAAGAAATAAAGCCATGGGCGCCTGGGTGGCTCAGTTGGTTAAGCGACTGCCTTCAGCTCAGGTCATGATCCCGGAGTCCCGGGATCGAGTCCCGCATCGGGCTCCCTGCTCGGCAGAGAGTCTGCTTCTCCCTCTGACCCTCCCCCCTCTCATGTGCTCTCTCTCATTCTCTCTCAAATAAAATAAAATAAAAAAATCTTAAAAAAAAAAAAAAAAAGAAATAAAGCCATATTGCATATTGCATGTTGCGTTATCGTGGGTCTTGTCTTTACCTTTGTTTAGGTATTCTGGTGAGCAGGAAGACTGGATAAAAAGATAGAAGCCAATCCTGCAAGTCATATTGACGCCTGGTGGGCTGACCTCAGTCACAGATGTCTGCACATCCAGAATCAGACTGGGGGGGAGGCAGGGCTAGGGCTGGTGGCTTGCTTGGAGAACTAGAACTTTTCTAAGATTTACATTCCTTCAAAAAGTCAACAATGATGATGAGGCATATTTTGGAAATTTTAATCACATCTGTCAAGAACCGTCAGAATAATGTCCTGGAATTCTTGGAATAAAAGTATGGTAATAATGTATTGTCTTTGGACGAGAGGAAAAGAAGAGGCTTATGAACGAAACAAGTGTACTTACTGATACTTCATAAAAAATTACTCAAAAGATGAAGGTCGTAAGTCTGATTTTTGAGCTCTCCTGAAGCACAAGCGTGTGAAGAACACCTAATACACTCTGCGAAATGCTCTTCAGACCTCTTGCTGTTAGACACTGGGGAAAAAAGAAGACCCTCAAACTGGAGATGAATTACCCTCTGACAAGAAACTACCATTTTCCCAGACATCGGCATGCAAGTATTACGTGCCAACCACACCGCCCATGGGCTTACAATCAAATTTAATTCTTTAATACAGACCCTCTACTGATTTCTTCCAAGCTTTCAGTGATGAAGCCGAGTCAGACTGAGCTTTGAGGGGAAGGGTTCTGAGAATCTTTGGAATCATTCTGTCCACTCTTCCTAAGAGCGTCAACTTAGTTAACAGCCCCAAACCTCAATGGATCTTTGAAAGTGAACAGATGTTATCTAAAATATCAGACTAATAATGATGTTTAAAACATGTTTGTATTGTGTATACATATATACACATATATGCATATATTTTGGGTTTTTTTTTTCCACTGCTCAATAAAATTAGCAGCAGTTACAGATAAATTATTGTGGTCATGATTTGTATTATTTCATACATCCTCTAGCAACATGTGACTTTTGGAAAATGCCTTTTGATGAAAAGATCCCCACCAAGCATATAACAAACAGTAAAGTGTCATTTCATATCACTAACATTTTCAGGCACAAGAGTAAAACAATTAGCACTGCTGAGCAATCCAAACAACAGAGCACAGAATAGTTAATTGTCTAAAGTCGATTCCCCCAAAGGAGAGAACTGTTGTTCAAAAAGTGTTTTTTTTTTTTTAAGTTCTTTTTTGTTGTTTTGTTGTTTTTTTGATTCTTACGGTTTTCAGCTTTGGCTATTTTGTAATAAATATCATACCTTCTCGCATAAACCTACTTGGGTGAGAATTAATTCTCTGAACATGCCTTTTGTCTTTGAGCAGCTGTTGAGTGATGTACAAGGCACACCTCTAAGTGTTCTGTACAGCATTTTTATTGATGTACAAAATAGCCTGTTCACCATTCAAAAACGTAATCTGCATAGTAAGAGTTTCTCTTATCCCTATTTACAGAGAAGGTTTTTAGTGCAAAAAACATGGAATTGTGTCCCAGCCCACCCCTTCTAGCACACACATTTGTCCGTTTTGTTCAATGCTAGCTGGGGTTATTTGGCTATATTTTGGGCCTCCAGCCGTTAATGAATTGCATTATTTTCTTCACCTGCAGTTTGCTCAGTTTGAAATCCTCGGAGAGGATTTCTTCCGTCAGCTGAACGAGCAAATTCCCATCGATCTTTTCAGTAACGAAGAAGGATATGACATCTTCAGACAAACCAATAAACCGTAACGACTTGGACACTTCTTCTACAGAGAGTCCCGACAGGTCAGCGGGCGGCTGCCATGGGGAGCCATCGCCGCAGGACCTGGGGGCCAGCTGGAGGTGGAGCGGAGATGAGAAGGGGTAGGTGACGGAGAAGATGTCCTGCATGCCCTTTTTAACAAAGTACTGGTCCTCAGAGAGGTCCGGGGACCCAGGCTCGGGGTCTTCCTCAGCACCATCAATTTTCAGAGGCAAGGGAGCAGTGTCCGAGGCGGCTTTCTCTTCCACTGGCTTTGGAGCCCTGGGGGGTAGGGCAGGGCACGAAAGACTCTGCTTGGTTGTGTCAGCAGCCCGAGTTTTCTCATCCGTGCCCTCCACAGAGTAGCTGGCCGACTTGGGACAGGCAGGGACGCTGCCGCTGAATTCTGAAGTGACGGAGCCAGGGGGACTGGCCGAGAGCTCACGGCCGTCCAAATCAAAGGGTGCTGGGCAGTTTCTCTTTGGTGTGCCTGGCGTCTTCTGTCGCGGGTAACTGTAGCTCCTGCTGGGACCCAGCAGGAAGTCGCTCCTGGTCTGGCTCTCCGACGCTCCCGAATAATGGTTGGGCCACGAGAGCCTGGAGGAGAGCGTGTCAGCAGAGGGACTTCCCATCGGGGACTTGAGGTCCACGGAATCAGTTTTCACGCGGTTGCAGGGATAGCAGGACACAGGCGCACTTTCGGAAGGACTCGTGTCGCTTTTAGGAACGCTGCTTAAGAGCAAACACAGAAAGGGAGGTGAGTCAAAAGTAGCAGCCAAATATCGAGCCGACCCTTATCCCCCAGATGTCACTTCTGAGTAGAAAAGGACAGCTAGGAAGAAAAATACAGTATTTCTTGTCATGAATCCAATAAAGTATCTGCTAACTTCACCGGGTTTTAAAAAAAGTCTTTAAGTTACTAAAATTCACCGATAATTACACAGATATGAATTATAATGATTTAAAAGGTTATAGTAGAGGTGGCAAATATATATATATATTTAATTTAACTAACAAGAAAATCACTGTGAGTGGGTCTGGATCTTTACGATGAGAAAAATTCTTTTTTTTTTTTTTTAAGATTTTATTTATTTATTTGACAGAGAGAGACACAGCGAGAGAGGGAACTCAAGCAGGGGGAGTGGGAGAGGGAGAAGCAGGCTTCCCACCGAGCAGGGAGCCCGATGCGGGACTCGATCCCAGGACCCTGAGATCATGACCTGAGCCGAAGGCAGATGCTTAACGACTGAGCCACCCAGGCGCCCCACGATGAGAAAAATTCTTAAGCCATGTTTAGGCTTATCACCAATAGGTCGTGTGAATGATGAGTAATGTCTGCAGCAGGTCAGGGTGGCATGAGAGCTGCAGATGGGGCCTCGTGCCTGTCATCCTTGGGCCATGTGACAAGACTACAGCACCAGCACCTATGACTCTATTTCCATCCCAAAGTCTGAGGTGAGAAGAGATGCGTCAAACACAATGCTTGCCTTGGCTTCTATTCAACTGAGTAAAACTAGCATAAGGATTTCAACGTCCAGAGAACAAAGAATAACTGCAAAAGAGAGCTATTTTACATGGTGAAGACCAGACATGGAGCAGTGCCTTCAACTTGGGGGCCATATTTTAAGAGTGACAGGGAAGCCAGGGTATGCTCAGAGGTGGGGTGACCAGGCTGATGAGGGACCAGGCAGCGATGCCAGGGGAAATAGCTGGAGGAACTGAGGCGATCTCTCTGGAGAAGAGAAGACTTACATCTTAGCTGACTTCAAATTGTTCACAGGCTGACAAAGAGAAGCAGGGAGGATCTATTTTTTTTTTTTTTTCCAGAGGTAAGAAACAGTTGAAACTTATGTGGAGATAGATTTCAACTGGATATAGGGAAAGATTACCAAAAAAAATCACTGGCGTTTGCCAACGATGGAATGAGCTGCAGTGCAAAAGAAGGAGCTCACAGCACTGGAAGGATCCAGACAGAAGCGAATGGCTACCAGACCGCAGCGGTCAAGAAGGGATTCCCGTAATGGTTGGAAAGGCAGAGCAGAGCCAACAGGACCCTTTCAACTCTAGGTCCCGGTTGAAGGTGCTGTTGTCTGCTTGTGCAGAAGTGGGAGTGGAAAGAACGAGAGGCTGGTCTGTGAGAGCTGGTGGCACTCCGTGGCTTGCTTTAAAGAGAATCCAGCCAGCCTTTGTCGCGGAGTTTCTCACCTACACTGTGGTTTCTTTTCTTCCTAGGACACTGGTTCTTCCATCCTCGCTTGAAACCAACAGGGGCCCCATCATGCTTTTCCAGCGAAATCCTTTTGTGTTTAAAGAACACTTCCTCTCCCACCTCCTGCCCAGGCTACAGCTACCCTTGGCTCTGTTCTCAAGAAGCGGTGAGCTGGCCGACAAGAAGACGCGTGCCCTGGCGTTAAGACTTACATGTCGTGCAGCCCTGACGAATAGTAGGACAGGGTGGGGCTGGGAGAGCGAGTCTGCTGCCGAGCTGGCTTGGCCGTACGAGGAGGGACCGAGGGGCTTGTGGACAAAGGCTTTGCGCTTCGGGGTGGAACAGGAGGGGCGTTCAGGAGCCGGCACTCTTCCCTGACCTGGCGCGGAAAAGAACACTCTGGGTTAGCAACAGACTGACAACGGGTCAAGTTGCTACTCTTAAAACAGTAACGGCAGGGGCATAAGGCGGGTGGAGCGAGAAGACCGCAGCACGTGAGGAGGATGATAAACACAGGTGCTGCCCGAGATCAAATCCACGCCTGTCACGAACTTGGCGGGACAGACCGATTTTCAAGGGGACTGCGTGGCAAACGCCAGTGGCCACTGAACCGTGGCCAGTAACGTGAACGACAGTGAGTTCAAAGGCCAGTGACGTGTGAGCTGTGTAAAACGGAAGTATTAAGAAAATAAGGACGTAAGGCAATTATGATCTTAATAGAGGATCAAACTCTTCTACTGGGTTGTGTTTATCCCCTGTTCAAACTGAATTCAGTGTGATCCAAACCTTCGGGACTGGAGGCTCTTCTCCAGGGTGGAGGCTCCTTCTGAAGTTATGTGCAGGGCTTCCCACTCCTAAGTGTGCATGTGAATCACCCGGGATCTTCTCAAAGGGCAGACTCTGACTCAGTAGACCTAGGGCGGGGCCCAGGAACCTGCATTTCTAACTAGCTCCCGGGTGTCACGGATGCTGCTGGAACAAGGCTGCAGATGGAGTAGTGAGGCCGACCTCCGAACCCCAAACAGCACTTTTCATGAGAGCTGCCTCTGACTTCCTTCGGCCTCACCTGGGAGAGGATTAGGTGACCTGTGAGGTCCATGGCTTGTATGAGTCTGCGGGCTGTTACCCCCCCACCCTCCTTTTCTGTTCCAGTCACAGAGGCATTCGAGAATAGGGTTCTTTTTAATGAAGCGGACATTTTTAAATGTACTTCTCTGTGTCAGGCAGCAGGGGGCAGTTTATACCCGGTTCTGCTAGTCTACCAGAAGCCACACAGGTAAAAACAGCCAATTCCGACTTCGTCAGAAAGGTCCTTGCCTGCTTTTAAGCCGTGTTCCCAACAATTTTTTCACCTTTGCCTTCAATTTCTTTCTGTCCCCGCAGCTCTGGGGTAATGAGGACAATGAAACAGCAAGCTTCCATTAGCTTTGGTATTGGGTTTGCTTAAGACCAAATAAAATAGGTTCACGTGCCATTGCATCCGCTACACCTACACGGCACACTGGGCCTCTAACTGGCTTCCCAGACCTGAGCCGCTTGCCAGAAAAAACCAGACGCTACGGAAAGTCACATGACCACGCAAACCTCAGTTCTAAGTGAAATGGAAGCAATTTAAAAAGTCTCATCTGTTGCATTTCTTCCTAGCACAGAGGATCATTGCTCCCACCCGGAGGACCCATAGCCCTGGTTATTGGGACCCACTGGTGATCGTTTTTCATTTGGAAAAGCTCTTTAGGTTGAAATGAAGTATTCTGAGCAGCAGATTCTCTTCTCCAATAGCTGTAGGCTTTTCCCTTTTGAGTTTTTAGAAAAGAGGTAGTGGATGACTACAGAAAGAAAATCTGGGAGGACGTGGGTTTGGATAAGGAAGAGAGAGAGGATTATTCAGCTGGCTCGGGGCGGGGGGCGGGGGGCAGGAACTCCTGCACCACTGGAGGGTCTCCTTTTCTTTTCTTTTTTAAGATTTTATTTATTTATTTATTTGACACAGAGAGAGAGAGACAGCTAGAGAGGGAATACAAGCAGGGGGAGCGGGAGAGGGAGAAGTAGGCTCCTGGCTGAGCAGGGAACCTGATGTGGGGCTCGAACCCAGGACCCTGGGATCATGACTGGACCCTGGGATCATGACCTGAGCTGAAGGCAGACACTTAACAACTGAGCCACCCAGGCGCCTCCGGAGGGTCTCCTTTTCTTAAGGAGCTGAGAATCAACTAGGACACTGAAAACCTCTGGCCGGGTTACCCCACTGGCTGGCTTTCAGGAGTATATATTGGTTACAAAATAAGTAACCAGGATAGTGAGTCAGCTTCCGTCTTGTTAGTGATTTGTACAGGAGCCAACTATGTTTCTTTTCTTTCTTAGGGACTATCTATAGAATCTAGGATGGATGGGTGTTACTTTATTATACCTGTGCCTGATTCTGTTTATGCTTATGGTAACAGGAATGGAAAACGTAAGATAAGGAGCCTGTCCTATAGCTTTTTAATTTTTAAAATAAACAGTCCCTTTTCAATACTGGGTTAGAGAAAAGCACAGGAGAACATGGTTAATGCTGAATTTGATTTAGAAATTTCTAAGTTCTGAAAGTAGTCACTAACTGTGACGTTTCATTAGGGCTCACTTACCTAGATGTCAGTTATGATATGCTGAGATGTCCATGACAATATGCATTTTAATTCAAAGTAACTGACTGACTTAGGTCTTGGAACACAGAAAAGCGGCCACCTGTGACCTATGGGAAGTCCCCTCTTCCTGTTCTTCTAACTAAGGTCACTTTGAGCCGGTTCTGCCATCCTCTTCTATAATGGGGCAGTCCCGAAGAGCTTTCCAATAGGTTTCCCACATGAGAGGAGGTGTGGAGAGGAAGTAGTGGAAAGAAGCATTTGTAGGGCACAGGGCCCGGGGAGGTGAGCTATGGCGAACTGGAGTGTTTATAGCTAAACTCCAGACTATATCAGAGATAAAGGAAGTGTTTGGGGTGGCCACAGGACTCCTGAAAGGAGTAACAGAGTGTGTGTATGTGTGTGTGTGTGTGTGTGTGTGTGTGTTTCTCGCTCTTAGGAGATGGGGTGGAGTCAGTGAAGAGATGCTACTAGAAGGCCAGAGAAAGGTTCTCTTCCCTTGTGAGGAGAGGGCTGTTTGGGTGTCATTGTGAGTCTAGTGGCAAAGAATCAGGCTGATTTGAAATCCATTTTGGAGAAAGGGTAGTTGAAAACAAAAACAAAAACAAAAACAAAAACAAAAACGACTTTAAAAAGACCTGGCCCATGACAAGAATTCAGGTGTAACTTTGTAGAGGTACAAAAGGGCCAGCTTGTGCAGCTCCAAGCAAGTGTGTTAGGGCCGCTTGGCGCTCAGCACAGCTGACCACCTGCTCTCTACATGTTGCGTTTAACTTGTTACTTCCTTTCTTTCTGTTTGAAAGATTTTGTTTTAAGTCGTCCCTACACCCAGCCTGGGGCTCGAACTCACAACCCCGAGACCAAGAGTTGCATGCTCTACCAATGAGCCAGCCAGGAGCCCCCAACTTTATTGCTTTCAACTTACTGCTGCGGATTCTCAAATGAAGTCATATGCAGTTTATGGGAAAAACTATACGCTTTGGTAAAATATATACATTTTGGGATCCAGAAGTTACAAATAGTGAGGGTTTACTGTGCCATCGTACTTCCTACCTCCTACGCCCTTATAACAGTAATTGTTCTACTTTGCTTCTTGATTGGATTCAACATGGAACATATATATCCAAGAGCAGTGTAGTTCTTTTTGAAATGAATTTTATCTGACAATAAAAAGCAATTTACAAGACTGGATGGCCAATCACCCTATTTCCAGTTTCCCTCATATTCAATTCCACTTTCAAGTGCTACATTTTCAGTGGATTCCTTGTAAAAGTTTCAGCATGTGGCTTTCATCACGTTACTTCCCATCTCCAGTGGCACCCTCTGATTGCTGGATAAAGTTCAGCCTCCCCTGCTTCCCACTGAAGGCTTCTGCAGTCTTTCTGGCTATATTTGGTAGCTACAGAAATTACTCCATCTTATTCCATCTTTCTAGTTATTTCTCCCACCACTCCTCTATATGAGCACAGGTCCATCCAAAGAGGCAGGTTCAGTGTCGCCTGGACACGCCTGTCCTTGACTGTTCCTCTCTGCTGTGGTTACTGCCTGTCTCTTCCTAAATGCCACTTCCTAAGGCTCAGTCCCAAACATTACATGCTTGGTCTGAGACCACTGCACGTGGCCACCTGTACGTGTCACTGCTTCTGAACTCAGCTCACACTGTTTATATTTACTTACTTTCCATGTATAGTCAATTAGTCTGCAAGTGAAAATGGTAGGGACTGTCATTGTTGTTATTGGTACCCTGTGGATGACAGAGTTTGGGGATTTGTCACCTCGGGTACAAATATGTCCCACAGAATGCTAGGTAGAGGTTAACAGATGTCACAAAAAAATACAACAAAAAGGCACTTTTATTTTAAAATGTATACTGTAAGAATGCCTTTTATATTTTTATGTGGAAATTGTTATTGATAAGTCATTTGGGCTGGATGTTAATTTTTTGTGTGTCCTCATATTAGCGTCGATCTCGAGAAAAAGTGTGCCAGAAGACCTGTCACATATGACCACGCTCAACTCTACCCCCACCACACTGGGCATAGCAGGAGTGTGAAAATGACAAAGACGGTATTTCTAAACTGGGAAATTGTCAACCCCCCCGAAAAATTACTATTCTCAATGAGGATATTACAGAATACAGGATGGCTGGCGGACTAGAGTCCTTCTCTTCCTGTCCAACACAACATGTAGGGCAGCACGGGAGGGTGAGGTACCTGGATTATCAGGAGTAAACCTCCAACACTAGTCCTGAGCGACGGGCTGGCGTTACTATCACAGATTATGCATGACCTTTGCTACTGGTTGATCATTTCTGGTTACGAGTAGTTTGGGTGTTTGAAGACAAGCTCCTGGCTCCTGCTGGTTAGGACAGCGTCAACGAACACAACATGGACTCAGGTGGCAGCAGGGAGAGCTGGCTCCCTGCTGTCCCCAGAGCCTTGCTTCATGAATTCTCTGGCCTAAGCTCTTCTTTCCGGGGCGCCTGGGTGGCTCAGTCAGCTGAGTGTCTGACTCTTGATTTCAGCTCAGGTCATTACCTCAGGGTCATGGGATCAGCCCTGAGTTGGGCTCTGCACTCAGCAGGGAGTCTGCTTGAGATTCTCTCTCTCTCTCTCTCTCTCTCTCCCTCTGCCCACCCACCCTGCCCCCGCTCGCATGCACACACACACAATTTCTCTCTGAAAATCAATCAACCAATCTTCCTCTTTCCAGCAATTCCATCTCCAGTACAATTATCTCATCCTTGCTCCTTCACTGC